GGGGGGGATTAGTAGTTTACTGAAGGAAAATAATATTTTTGTGCTTTCAGTTCTCATGGGAAAAAAAAGGATACTGTATTTCTGGCATGATCATCTAAGGACTATAAGTGTAAGTGCCTTTATAAAAACAAATTAAAACACTCCCAAACAACAGTTATGGGAGATAAAGGATGGGATGCAAAATAGACCTTAGTCTGCAAGAATGTTAAGAAGTTTGGCTAATTGTCTTACCAGAGCCAGTAATTTCAGAATTGTGCTGACTATTGACTACAAGGGCATTTTAAAGGAGAATGGCTGGAGCAAGTATGTATGTCAAAACCATGGTTGTCATCAACTTGCAGAGCATACGTAGAACTGTTTTATTAAGTGGTCCTGGAATGTTCTTAATGTATGAGTATAAACAGTACACCAGAACTCCTTGATATTGGTGGTTGTGTTTTGTTCACTGATATTGTGACAGTGCAAAAGATGTCTTCTGGTCACTGTTATATTCTGGTGCACATTGACTAATAGCTATTTGTCAACATTGAGAATGTAAAATCCGCGCTTATGGGTAGGTCTGATATAAAAGCTGCTGCGCTGTAAACCCTAGGGTTAAAAATGAATGAAGTGTAAATTGTGCAGCGCTGCACAATTTACACTTTATTTGTCAACATTGCAAGTGTATGTTCACTGCAAGAACTATAGTACAGCCTGCATGGATTTATGTACTCCATTCTTATGATTGAGCATGACCTCTGAATTATGAAAACATCAAGACTTGAAAACCGTAGAGCAAAATTTCTGTTGTCTTTATAATGTGGCTTCTTAATAGAGATTTAAGTAGTATTAAAGGCAGGGCATTTTTTACCTTAATGCATTCTTTGCATTAAGGTAAAAAATGCCCAGTACCTTTCTATATCCCCGTCTTCCCCACACTTACCTGTTAGCGTCACCTGCCACAGCCTCCGGTCCCCAAAGCAATCCTCGGTTCCGTACTTCCTGGTTGCGAGGGAAGAGATTGAGGGCAGAGGGGCCATATGTTCCTTCTGCTGTCAATTAACCTGTTGGGCGTAGAGAAGGGAGGTGACCTGCAGCAGGGCTGTGTGTCTCTATGGATGCACACATCTACTGCACCACGGCCAGGAATGCGCACGCATGGGTGCCTCCACAGCAACCACTTAGCCGGTGGCGGCACCCGTGCAGGGGGTGAGGGAGACAGTGATGCAGGGACCCACTGGAAAACAAGGAATTGAAACATTAAAAAAAAAAGATCTGCAGACCATTTATGCCTCCCTTCCATACAAATAAAGAAAGGTTTAATGTCTCTTTAATTATTGTAATTGTAGTACTAAACTCTGGGAGATTTGCATGGTCTAGATCAGGGGTCAAAATTTAAAGTCCTGAGCTACTAGCCAGGCCTTAGGAGTTACTCCCCACCAGTTGCCCACCTAACCCCTACCCTGCCATGGCCTTAAGTCCGCCCCTAAACACACCCTCTTAAATAATCTTATAAATGACCCTGTTAGATGTTTTATGCAAAATAAAGTTACAAAAATAAATATTAACAACTTTAACAATATGACCATAAAGGTCCCTGCCCCCACATATAAAATAATACACTCTCCGCCCTGTTCCGTGCACCACCACATATGAAATATTACCCTCTCCCCCCTGTTCCCTGCCCCCTCACACATAAAATAAGAAGCCCCCGTGTTCCCTGCCCCCCACATAAAATAAGACAATAAATCAACAATATTGTCAACTAAGTACATTTGTGCTGGTCAAAAATAGATGATGAATAGAGGAATTCAATAGACAAAATTAGTGAATTGTGACAGATTTTCATTCTGCTAACCAAATGACATACATAAATCAAGCTATTAATTATTACAATGGGTAAAAAGATGTTCTTAATGCCTTTGTGTCTGCCCTGGTTATTGATGTTATAATAATCCTGTTGGAGTTGTGATTGACAGTAATATTCAGGTGAAGTGTGCTGGGATCTGATCTGGTGTGTAGCTCAAATACAAAAAAAAGACAGAAAATCTTTCTTTGTTAATATGCTGGGTCACTTATGCCTTTTTGCAAGTTATACATACTAAAAAAATACAATATTTGCTTTTATATCACTTTTATACCATATCCGCCTTTATAACATTTTATATTACAATAGCATTAACACAGAATGCAGTCTGCATAGCAATTTAAACATTACAAACACTGCCAAAAATAAGTAAATCAAATACCTTAACAGTGTCCAAAGGATGTCCAACAATAACACTAGCAGCCCCTATATTGATAAAAAAAAACAGCACCAAGATATAATACAATATAATATTTAGTAAAAAGTAATTTGGCAACACATAACTCATGTCATTGTTTAATTACTGCCACACAGTGGAAATCAAATACTCCTATTTGTAAAATGACTAAAAATGTTATCATAACAATAAATAGTACGAAGAAAGAGACTTTCTTACCTCCAAGATACCCAGCTATAAAATCATCTGTCTTCATCTTTCCTATAGTGGGATATGGTTCCACTGTTACTTCTCCCTTTCAAATGCAGTATTTCTACACAAAATTGCATGGCCTGTCATAGAGTATTTGCTTTCATTCAGTCCAAAGGTTTTTAATGCACAAAGCAAATGTGTTCTTCTGGCAGATGCAGCAGTATCTCGTGTTGTCTGATTTTTTTTTCCCCCTACCAATGCCAGTAACTGCATGACTTAAATGTTTTCATCCCTAGTGTTACAATAACTTTTTTGCTTTCAGTCTGGAGAAATACACAGAGGGCTCTAACTGTCACTGCTCTTCCATGTCCACTCCACATTGTGATAAATACTAGCGATGAGCTGAACGGGTCCGAGTTTGGTTCAAAGTCAAACTTTAGAACATCCAAAAAGTTTGAATTCGAACTCAAACTCAATGCAAGTCAATGGGGGTAGAACTTTTAAAAACAATTGTCCCCTTTAAGAGGGCTTATATGCAAGTTATTGGCCATAAAAAGTGTATAAGGATTCGGATACTGCCCTGGGGGACATGACTCAATGCAAAAAAAAACTTTAAAAAAATACAGTTTTGAAAGGAGCAGTGATTTTAACATCACCTGTAAAGTGGCACATCTATACGATATAAAGAACCTGCTGCAGCAAAACTGACATTTTTAAAGGAAAAATATATATATATTTATATTTTTTTTAAGCATGCATTTTTCCCTTTTCCCTGTTAGGAGGGACCCTATTTAAAAAAAAAAAAGTGTGGGGTTCCCCCAAAAGTCATACCAGATCCTCAAGGTCTGGTAGGAATGTTTAGGAGAAACCCTGTGTAAAAAAAGAAAAAAAGAAAAGTGTGTGGGGTTCCTTCTTAGTCATACCAGGCCCTTAAGGTCTGGTAGGATTTTTAAGGAGGAACCCCACCCCCAAAAATGTGGGGAAAAAACTTGGGGTCCCCCTAAAATTCCATACCAGACCCTAGATCCAAGTACAGGTCTCGCAGGGCCAGAAAAGGGGGCCTTTCCCTCCCATACCTGCTCACATGCCCCCGGCACTGGGAGGGTGCTTTTCCAGGGTCGCCCCTGGAAAAGCACCTCGTTACCATGCTAATGGGGACAAGGGCCTCTTCCCAACAAGCCCTGGGGCGTTGGTTGTGGGGGTGCGGGCAGGGGACTTATTCAAATCAGGTTAAAAAAAACAAGACTTTTGGAAAAAATGCTTTTAATAAAAAAAAAAACATAACAAAGGATTTTGACAAGTCTTTTATTGTTAACCCCCCCCCCAAAAAAAATGGATCTAATCCAGGGTCAACCACGAAGTCCAGCATTGTCCACGATGAGGACGACTCGCCAAAATAAAAAATAAAACAATAAAAAATAAATACAAATCATATATTTTTTTTAAAAACGACCACTGCCGTCCCGTCCGCTCTTGACGAACACCCACCACATAATGGCATTTTGACAGATGTAGGCAAAACATAAACAAATGGGGCGGAGCTGGCTCCGCCCAACTGTGTACAGTTTCCGTCATCTGACAGGTGAGCCATGATTGGGCAAAGTCATCATGACCGCCGAACGCCCTTATAGTTTGTGTGTTCAACGTTCGACGCGAATATCCAGCCCAACTCTAATGAATACATCATATGTTCAGCAGATGGAAATCTATGTCATATTTTCATTAAGGGCATTTGCAAAACATTTTCTGCTGTTTTATTTTATTCACTTACCACAATGCAAAACTATTGAAAAGAGAGAAAAAAATTTCTACACACTAGAGTTAGGTATTTTAATAGCTATGAAACCTCTTTGTTCAGTTCTTTGTTCTCTACGCTCAAAGGGGTTTAACGTTGGAGGAGTGAGACCACATTTTCTGAGCTTACAATACTTTTATGTAATAGTAAATGTCTGCTGCTTTTCATGTTTAAAGTAGTATTAAACAGTGAAACTTTTTTCAATAACGAATCCAGATCAAACAAATATACATTACCCAGTATAGTATTTATTTAATGTGTTGCCCAAATACATTTGGAAACATGATGGCTAACATCATGTTTCCAAACAGCTGACTCCAACCATCTCAGCTCAACTTCCCTGAACTTCCTGTCTAGTACAAGATCACAAGGGACACAGCAGCTATCCATCTTCCAACTTGGGAGGGAAGAGAGGGGAAGGAGAATGGATTGCCCTGTTGTACCTGTGCGTTTGTGGAGATACACACAAGGCTGGCTCCATAGGACTTTGCGAGAAGCTAAAACTTTTAAACATCAAGGAGCAGCATCCATTGTAAATGATTTAATCAGCATTTTAAATATTTTAAAATCCGGTCACATACCTTTCAGAGCCTGAATTGATGAAGGAGGCTTCTCTTACAGCTCTGGTCCTAAAACCCCTGAATAGCAGAACAGGGGGGTCAGGGCACAGAGGGGCATGAGTGCCTGAAGACTGCTGGCTTAAGTGCGGGTTCTGATGACAATCCTTCAAGAAGAAAGCAATGCAGGAGATACGTGTCTGGAATGCAGAGTAGGCAGGATCAAGGTCAGGTGCAAGCGGGGTCGGGGTCGAAGTCGAGCTGGCGATGAAGTACTAGACAGCAGGCAAACTTATAGTCAAGGGAAAAGCCAGGATCAGAACCATGCAGACAAAGAAGTAGCAGGACAGCAGACAAAGAGCAGGGTCAGGAACAAGGCTAGGGTCAGGAACACAGAAGATCAGCAGGATGGTCAATACGAGCCAGGTCTGAACTGGAACAACGGTCAGGAAAACAGGATCCAGGAAGCAACAGCTGACGATCACACAGCACTGGATACCATGAGTGCACACTGGACACCAGGAGAGCACAGTTTAAATAGCCCATCTGGCAGCAGAGTCTGTAGCACGCGTCTACGCAGAGGTGCATGCACAAGCCTGACTCCATGGGCCAAACAATGAGCATGCGCATGTGTGAATGCTCGCACAACACCACATGCTATTTGACAGACTTCTTGACAAAACCTTTTGACTTTATTATCACTTTAAACTTTCCTTGTAACCTTTTTGCTTCATAAACACATTCCCAAACCACCACCAGTGCCTAAAATATGTGACCATCCCTTCTGGTCTTAAAGCAAACCTGTGCTAAATAAATATGCCTGGCTGCAATGGTGACGCAACGGCTTCAATACTTTCTCAGCCCCTGGCCCGGAACAAATAGACGTTAGTTTTGACTTCATTCAGACATTCTAATTTGTATATTTGATTCTGGTTATGGATTTTTGCAATATTGAAGCTAGAGACAACCAAGAAACTAGTATTTTTTAGATGGCCAGCAATGTTTTTTTTTAAACATACATATACACATACACACAGAACATACATATAAAGTATATGCTAAACTGAGTTCAGATCTCCTTTAGTATCACCTTGCAGATTCCTGTGCCTAATTTTGGTTTATCATTTACAGATTATCATAAATTGGAATAGGTGACAAGTGTCTGTGTTGTGATTTTTCTGTTATTAATTAACAAAATGTAACTTTGCTCTGAACAATATCTTATTGCTGAATTGTTTGTTGTTGACAGCTCTTTTGATTTTCATGATCCTAATTCTTATTTGATTTGTGTAGATAAAATGTCAACATTTCTAGTAGAATTACACATTGGAGGTGCATTTCATGGAAGGATATTTCATATGCTATTGTAGTGATCAGGAATCCTTTTGATGTTCCTGTGTTGCGGTCATGAATTTTGCTAGCCCTGGCACCTGGGGCTCATAATGTACTATATGTTCCATAGTCCTGACTGCAGCACTCTATACACTATGTTATCACTAGTAATGAGCCAAACACCCGCGTGTTCGGTTCGTACTCGAACTCTCGAACGGCCGAAAAGTTCGAATACGAATTTGAACTCAATGCAAGTTGATGGGGGTCAAAAGTTTGAAAATTAATGTCCCCTTTAAGAGGGCTTATATGCAAGTTATTGGCCATAAAAGGTATATGGGGGTCCGGGTACTGCCCTGGGGGACAAAAATTAATGACAAAAAAACAAAACAAATACCGTTTTTAAAGGAGCAGTGATTTTAACATCACTTTAAAGGGTAAGAACATTTTTTGAAAAATTCCTTCAAATATCATGCCTGAGGGGTCCCCTTAACCTGCCTGTGAAGTGATGGATCTGTACGATGTATAGAACCTGCTGCAGCAAAACTGACATTTCTAAAAAAAAAAATACATTTTTTTTCTCTTAAAGTGTGCAGTCCCCCCCATGCTTATTTGCATCGTGGTACCCCTTTAATTAAGGGGGTACCCAGATGCCGCCCCCCTCCCTTGTGAATGAGTAAGGGGTACTTGTACCCCTACCCATTCACTAAAGGGTTAAATTAAATATTTATTAAAAAGTCCAAACGTTTGATAAAATCCTTTATTTGGAAAAAAAACAAAAGACATGTTTTTGACAAAAAAAATTGATCCACCGACGTAATCCAGGGTCAATCAAGGCATCCAGTGTTGTCCACGACGACAACTAAGTAAAAAAGAAAACAATAAAATAAGTACAATAAATAAAAAAATAAAACAAGTAAAAAAATAAAGAGTAATTAATTTAAAGAAAAAAAACCTCCGCCCCAACCTCTCCCCGCCGACTCCCGCCGCATAATGGCATTTTGACAGATGCCGGCAGAAAATACACAATTGGATGGAGCTTTGGAGGGCATTTTGCCTTATGGAATGTCTGTGGTCGTACAAACCACGAATATCCCATAAAGTTTGGTGCTCGGCGAACGCTCGAATGTCTGATGTTGGATTCTAACTCATGTTCGAATCGAACACTCGGCCCATCCCTAGTTATCACATAGGATGATTAAATATGTTGCATCACTTACAATAACCATCTTAGATATAGGTGTCTTAACCACTTGAAGACTGGGGGCAAATAATTTAAGGATGGAATTATTCACACTGCTAATCTAAATATACATGTTATTGAACAATCTAAACAGCTATCTGTATAAGGAGCTAGTAATGTCTGAATGTTTACTGACCCCTGTTAGCATTAGGGCAAGATGTACAAAAGACCCCGTAATCATGGACATCTCAACATTTTCCTGACATGTTGCCATTTAGAACTCTGCTGCCAACTTTACTCTGGGGGAGGAATAAAGTTGTTGGTTGGTTGCTTTTTTTTTTAGCTAATAGCCTGTCTGTT